GCAGATAAAACTTATACCCCATCCCAAAAATAGCGACGACCCACGGAATACTTGGCGTATTTGCGACGCTCTGGCGACGATGCCCCAACGCAGAACTGGGCGTATTCCTAATTTTTGGGTCAGTGGGTCACGCCTTGCATCGTTGTCTGGCATCAGTGGCGTATTTGCGACGCGCGACGATGCGGCAACGCCTTTTGACTTATGGCGTCTCGAGCTTCCATGGCGACCTGCCCAGAGCGCCACGATGCCAAGGCAACGATATGGCGACGATGCAGCGACGCCATAACAACTATGCTTTCAACAACCGAAGCAGAGTACATGGCAGTTGCTGAAACCTGTAAAGACCTGGTTTGGTTGAGGAACTTCCTTGAAGAGTTAGACAAAAAGCAAGCAGATTACTCGTTACACTGTGATAATAAGAGTGCAGTGAAACTTGCCAAGAATCCAGTCTATCATGGGAGAACAAAGCACATTGGGATGAGATATCACTTTGTCAGTGGGTTGATAAATGGAGGAACGATGAACTTGAAGAACATCTGAGGTGCAAAGAATCTAGCAGATATGTTCACTAAATCTGTGACGCTGGACAAGAATAATGTTGAGAAGGCAGTGGGCAACTAGGAGGAGCTAAACACAGATGAAGTTTACCGAAGTACAGAGGAGTGGAGTGCAGTTGATCGTGTTTCGAAGCCTCCAAGTGGGAGATTGTTGGGTCACAGGCTTCGGCCCATTCAGATCTGGGAGCCAAATAAATAAAGAGCAGCAGCCTGCTCTAGTTAAATGTGCAGGCAACCCTAGTTCCTAGTTGGGCCTTTTTCTTTGGTGGCAGTCAGGCCCAAAACCTTATTAAGTGTTTTACCCTAATTGTTTGCCTATATATCGACTCTTGTACTTGTAAACTATGACTTGTATCATTCATCATCTCAATAAGAAAGAAAACCCTAGTTGCCCATGTGGATTAGTTCAGTAACACTCACTAGCTGAACCACGTTATATCCGTGTCGCGTTCTTCTCGTTCATTTCTAGTTTTTCAGATTCGTGCGTGTGTGAGATCTAACCATAATAGGTAAGACTGCGTACATTCGACCTCCCTTTCCTTACCGTAGGTGGGAGCCTTTGCGGCGTTGGGGTAATGATGATGTTAGCTAGTGGGAGGCAGATGGGCCGAGGCTTTAGGAAGAGGCAACTGGGCCGATGCTTCGGGAGGACGGACCTCGCCTGTTATTAGTTTACTGTCGTTGTCAGTGGACCTAATTGGGCTAGGTTGACTGCTGGGTTTTATTACTTTCATTCAATTGTTATTTCTAATAAACTGCTGGGCCTAGATGGCCATATTTTATTATTAGGTTACTGGGCCTAGATGGCCGTATTTTATTATTAGGTCAAGTAGTATTTAAGCAAGTCTGATCTTGTGAACTATTATTCATTATAGAGAATAAAGATTTGGTTTGAGCCTAAGGCTGGGGCAGACGTTAATATCGTCTGCTAGGGTTTTCTGTTTCTATCAATTTGGTCCGACCTGCCGGATCCTATCCACCACCCTACGTTCATCATGACTCGTTCCACCATTGATCAACGTATGGATGCGATAGAAGCGGAACAGAAGAACATCAGGGCAGAAGTGCAATCCACCAATGCCAAGTTGGATGCTATCACACAAACCCTAGACAAACTGGTGCAGAAGGTTATGGCATCTGGGGAACCGGTGGCTGATTCTGAGTCGGGAGGAAGAGGCACGGCTTACTCGCAGAACTCCCACAACCCTAGGTTTGTGACCGCGCCTCTGACGCTACCAGCGTTTGAGGGGGCAGACCCGATTGGATGGATCGCCAGGGCCAATCAGCAGTTTCAAATCCATCAAACCCGACCTGAGTTGAAGGTGGCGTCAGCCATGGTAGCAATGGAGGGTCCTGCTCTGTACTGGTTTTCTTGGACACGGTCGCGGAAACCAGACATAGCCTGGGAGGAGTTTTCAGAAGCCCTTGTAGCCCGTTTTGATACTCGGTTCAAAGGAAGCACGTTCGAACGGTTGGCCGACGTTAAGCAGACAGGGTCCGTGGATGACTATGTGAATATGTTCGTGCAATTAGCCAGTCAGGTCCTAGGTTTGAGTGATGCCCACTACTTGGGGTACTTTATGAAAGGGCTACGGGACACCATTCACAGTTCCTTAAGGATCCTACGGCCGGCTGATTTGGAAGCTGCTATGGAGTTATCTAGAGATATTGAAGACGACTTGGCCATACAGTCCGGAGGGAGACCGGAACGGGGTTACAACGATCAGCAGTGTCGTTCCAGTAATTACACCAAAGTTGGCGGGTTTTCGGGGTTCTCTTCCACGCCAGTTGCGGGAAACCAAGGGGCAGCGGGAAGCACAACTTCCGCGCGATCTCCAGGTAGTACCTCGGGGTCCGGATCAGCCATGAATGACCAGTCGGTGAATCGCTCTCGGTTCACACGCCTCTCACCGCAGGAATTTGCAGACCTTCGTGCAAAAGGGCTTTGTTTCCGTTACAAGAAAGCCTATACCCCCGGGCATGAATGTCCTTTAAAACACTTGAGTGTAATGGTTGTCGAGGAAGATGAGGAACTCGACCTCAACCAAACTGAATCTTTTATCCCACCCGAAGAGGTCGAGCAGATGAGGAACAGGAGGAGCAACAAGCAGCGGCTTTGGACTTGCTCGTATATTCGATGGCGGGAATTTGGAGTTCCCGTACTATGCGACTCAAAGGCGTGATTGAGGGGTTCACAGTGACCATCTTGGTGGATAGTGGCGCAAGTCACAACTTTATTTCAGCCGCCTTTGTACCACGACTCAAATTAAAGGCAGAAAAGACGAGGAGGTTTGGTGTACAGCTAGGAGACGGTCATCGCCAAGAATCAGAAGGGGCTTGCAAGGGGGTGTTGATCTCGCTACCAGGGTGCGAAGTACGAACAGATTGTTATGTGTTTCCTTTGGGAGGAGTGGATGTTATACTGGGAGTAGCATGGCTAGCATCCTTGGGAGAGGTCTGGACCAACTGGGATACGATGACTATGTCATTTGACGGTCAGGGCAGGCCGGTAGTATTACAAGGAGACCCGACACTCTGCCGGAAACAGGTGGACCTACAGGCCCTGCCACTTTATTGTGGCCAAATGTGGAGCAGGTTTGGTGTAGTAGGTTGGTCAGTGCCAACAGCAGCTTCCTCACTCCAACCTTGGGGACAAGGTTCTTTTAGAGGGGGAGGAAATTGTTAGGTAGTGGGAGGCAGATGGGCCGAGGCTCTAGGAAGATGCAACTGGGCCGATGCTTAAGGAGGACGGACCTCGCCTGTTATTAGTTTACTGTCGCTGTCAGTGGACCTAATTGGGCTGGGTTGACTGCTGGGTTTTATTACTTTCATTCAATTGTTATTTCCAATAAACTGTTGGGCCTAGATGGCCATATTTTGTTATTAGGTTACTGGGCCTAGATGGCCGTATTTTATTATTAGGTTAAGTAGTATTTAAGCAGGTCTGATCTTGTGAGCTATTATTCATTATAGAGAACAAAGATTTGGTTTGAGCCTAAGGCTGGGGCAGACGTTAATATCGTTTGCTAGGGTTTTCTGTTTCTATCAGATGATGATGATGATACCAAACCAGAGAAAATCACAGAAGATTTCATCTTCTTTAAGAAAATGGTGCCGGAGATGGAGGGTAGTGGCTCGGCCCCTCCCTTGGGTCAGCAGGTGATTTTTGACAATAAATTTATTTGCTCTGGCATTTTATAAATGTAAAAATGTTGCATTTTTTTGGAAGCTATATTAGATAGTTATGCAAAGGTTTTTCTAATTTCTTTGTTGAAGAAAATTTCACATTTCTTCGTTCGTGTAAACTGGATCAGTTTCAAACCACGATTTCTTGATTGATATGGTTATAACTCACAAGTTTAACATAACAAGTGATAAATTACCATCTTCTGTTGCTCTTGTCTCTTGTCTGATTTAAATATATCTTTAGCTATTTAGAACCTTAAGAGAATATATGGACAACATCCAATGGTGTACTAAGTAAGGGTGGTGAGGATTGCCCCCTCTTTTCTCCTTTTTTTAAATCCGTATATCGTATAACTCACGCCACACATGTAGTCTGTAACATGTGTGGCTGTACACATGCAGGGGTACTTCATAAGACTAAACACGCTTGTCTTGTAATGTTTATGTTCAAATAATAGTTGATTAGTGATTTTGTGTGCTAAATAACCGATTAAAGACATATAATCTAATAATGTCGATGAACAATTGAGTAGATATCGACTATCCATTATTGATGAGTTGGATTGAAAGCTAGTAGAAAGTAGAAACAGAAAGAAAAAATAAATGGTTGATGGTGTATTTACTAGTGAAGTTGATACAGTTTTTGCCATTTGCAGTATGTAGTTGAACTCTTGAACATTTTTTTTGCAAAATGGTGTAATGAAACAAATAACTACTTCACTTTGGAGTAGTCTGGGTGATGATATGTTGAAAAAAAGTATTCATGAAAGATCAAGTTAAGAGTTTTGATTTTTTTAGTCAATTGTTCATTAATTCGTATAATGTTAATGCTTTAATTTGCAATGTTTAGAGTGTACAAGAATACTTATGTATCATTGTTTGCACTCTTATTTAAAAAGGTTTTGTGTATGCGACAGTTTGTGGGCATAAAACCTTGAAGTAACTTGAACAAGTACAAGTAGATCCAGAAAAAATGGGTGGAAAAGTTCTAACGTAGTGGGTTCTCGCCTGATATAGTCTTCACAAAGTATTTGGATTAATGCATAAGGCAATGAGAAAACGCTATTAACATTTATTCTAGGCTTACATGTGTCTTTGTCTTAAAGTTAATCTTTTGTCTGTATGTTTTGTCATAAACTCTTTTTAGTCTCTGATTTGATTAAGTTTTAATGATATACAATCTGTTCAGGAAGAGGTGTATGGACATATATCATTTTGGTAAGTGTAAATGACATTGAAGTTCTTGTATGTATGTAGGAATCTTGCCAACAAGTCCAAGCCGTGATCAATTTCTTAAAGCCACAGGTATTATATATGACAGTTTGGCACCACAACACACCTTCATAGTTTCATTTGTTCATCCATCTAAAGGTTAGGTTGCCATCTATAGTACTGTATTGGAAAAATTGATAATAATAATCCCACCTTTCACTGGTCTTCTCATAGTAATCCCACCTTTACGTAGTCCCAAAATAATCCCACATTTGCATCCCATCTTCTTTCGTTTGATCCTAACCTGTTCATGACCTACTATATCGGGTTTGTACCCTTTCTTTGAAAACCTTTTATAAATAATCTCACCTTTCACAAATCTGCTCAAAACGGTCCCATGTTTCATTTTTTCTTTTTGCTCCCTAAAATTTTTCTCTCTTTATTTTCATCCCTAGGCACTTTTTATTCCTTATTCTATCCTTTTGTTCTTATTTATTCTCCATTTTTATTATTCTATTTCTTACTATATTAGGATATTTTTTTTGTAAAATTTCTCTTCAAAATAGCTCTTGTTTGTCGTTTTCTTTTTCTTTCCGTATTTTATTTCATTTCCCTTTTTATGTTTTTCTTCTTAATCATTCTCTTCTTGTTAAAGATCATTTCTCACTTTACTTTTTGTTATGTTTTCTTTTTATTTTCACTTTTCCAATTTTATATTTTCACTTTTAAAATAAGATCTTTAATAAGAAGAGAATGATTAAGAAGAAAAATATAAAAAGGGAAATTAAGTAATACGGAAAGAAAATGACAAAAAATGCTATTTTGAAGAGAAATTTTACAAACAAAAAATCTCTCCTAATAGAGTGAAAAATAGAATAATAAAAATGGAAAAGAAATAAAAACAAAATGATAGATTAAAAAAATGTCTAGGGATGAAAATAAAGAGAAAAATTTTAGGAAGAAAAAGAAAAAATGAAACATCAGACCGTTTTGAGCAGATATGTGAAAGGTGGGATGATTTGTATAAGGTTTTCAAAGAAAGGGTAAAAGACCTGGTATAGTAGGTCATCAAGAGGCCAGGGTCCAACGAAAGAAGATGAGGTTCAAAGATGGGATTATTCTGGGATTACGTAAAGGTGGGAATGTGGGATTATTATGAGAAGACCAATGAAAGGTGGGGTTATTCTTGTCAATTTTTTCCTACTGTATTTTATCCTTAATAATTACTTTCTGAGTAAAACTGCTATGGATGATTAATTGCAGGCTGTCTTTTTGGAGTTATGTTCAAGTCGTGTTGCATTACTAACACCTCGAAATTTAAAGGTCTGTCCTCACATCTCCTTCTTTGTACTTTGCTGCTTTATATTTTTATCATCCGATCATGGTCATCACAATGTCGCCTAGGCGCCGACTAGGTGTCCCGGCGATGGAGGAGCTGCACCATAATACTCTGTTGTCTTGCCTGAAGTCTCTCAGGCGACCTGTGGCTTAATCTATATATAATTTAACATTTGATATATAATGTTATTATGTTTAAGTATTACACTCCCTCCGTTCTTTTTTAGGTTCAACGGTCAACATTTCACATTTGACAACACACGTGTTTGACCGTAATTATATCTTAATTCTATTAGTAAAAAAAATATTAAAAATCAGATTTTGAAAATTTGTAATGAGATGAATTGAACAATATTTAAAAAAAAATTCATAAAATAACAGCGTAAAATGTAGTCAAAGTAGAGCATGTGAATAGCGTAAAATTCAACATGTTGCGATTAAAACAGAACGGAGGATAGTATATGATATATGGTGTGACTTGTCGTCTAGGCGATAAGGCAGCCAGCTGGCACCGCGCGATGTGACCAGCCACCGTGATAACCTTGCATGAGATTAGGATTGCAACTTGTACTAGATATAGAAGTTAATATGGATCATTTGTCATTATTAATTTTTAAGAGCCCGTTTGGTAACCCCGGTTTTCGGCTTATCAGGCTTAGCAGCCATTTTTTTCACCATACACGTAACTTTTGATTTCGCGCGTTGAATTGTGTAATAATAAGAAAAAGTAAGGTCGGAGTTACTTTTATGGCCGTATTGGCTGAAGTTATTGTAGATGATAATTTTAGCTATTTTTTCATATAATTTTTTCTTTATCTTATTAATATAAAATATTGTAAATATAATTTTTCATAAATCACCAGAATCAGCCAATCCAGTCACTTTAGTCAGAACTTCATAAATTTCAGCAGAAAGGTAATTATTTTCAGTGTTACCAGGGCTGTAAATATTTGTGTGGTTATTTTCTTACTTTTAAAATTTTGTCATGGAACTGCTGTGTCATTTTTTGAGAAAGCACAATCGGGAAGCTTTGAGATCTATCATCTGCTTTTGCTTGTTTTACCTTTCCACAACTCTTGTAGTGTTAATTCTGTCTTTTGCCCATCATTTATGTTAGAACATTGGTAAATCCGACTCAGTATACAGTAGATTCAATGAGAAATTAACAAGAACAAGATCAATAGGAAGTTTATAGATGAAGAAGAAGAGTATGGAACATATACAAAGCCCCGGACGATTCGAGATTCCCAGTCTCCCGGTCTATTCCCAACTGAATACTTGCCTACCTTCTCCTTTTCTCCTTCCTTTCTATTTATAGTACTTCTATTTCTTTAAGGGCTGGCCCAATATTTCTGATTTACTAAATGGCCCAGAATCTTTTTAGTATTATTGTCTATGTTCCTATCAATACTCCCCCCTAAACAATCATCTTGTCCTCAAGGCGGGTGATAGGGAACAACCATGATCTTCCGCTTCCACTTCATTCTGGCACTTCTCCCTTCCCAGTACTTGACTAATTGTTGGACTAAGATCTTCCATACTTGAATCTTCCTCCTTACTTCTTCTAGCAAGAACCTCAATAGATCCCCTATCTTCAGAACATCAGTACCACTCGGGTGGCTTTGTTCCTGCTGGAATTGAGTCTTACCAATCTGCCCAATCACCAACTGCTCAATCTTCCAATTGCTAACAATTTTTGCCTCATGATATGACTCAAGCTCTTGGATTTCAGTTGCTCCACTCCTTGAAGTTGTAGTATCTGACATGAAGTATTCCCTGGGACTGTTAATAACAGCAGGAACATCAATTAATTGGTCAACAACCATGGTAGATTCCATTCCAGAGTTGTTAAAGGAAGCTTTCCAACAAGAATCCTGTAATCCAGAATTGATAGGTGCCAACAATGACATGAATGGTGTAGAACCTGCTGCCATTTCGAGTATGGATAAAAATCTGGCATAAGGAAATTCTGCAAGATACTCTTTGCCTTTTGAACAGCCTGACTTACAAATGTCATCATCTTTAATCAAACATTTGGAAGAGCCTCTTAGTAGGGCAGTCATAGAAACTGGATTTCTATTATAAATCACCCACTTAGGACCAACCACAAGAGGTCCAATATAGACTACACCAAAGTCACATGGATCGCGGTATGCTTCGGTACGCGGTACGAAAACGGAACGCGGATCGCCAAAATTAGAACTCCGATACGTAGGGGGTACGCGATTTCGGTACGCGGTACGTTGTACCCTTTGTTTATGGTACGGTGAACCATAAACATATTGAATTTACTAAGTATAAATATAATTAATACAAGTATAATATTAAACAATTAACTTCTATAACTTCAATAACATTAAACAAACTTAAGAATGTTTGCAACAACAATAAAAGATACAAAACAGTAAACAAAGTTTAAGGATTCCAGCAACAACTTCAACAAAACAGGAAATAAAGTAATAAACATTAAACAAACTTGAACAAAACATTAAACATAATTGGGCAGCAAACTAGTCAATCCTTGGCCTCTTTCCTTTATCATTAGTACCAACATCTTCTTCTAAATCTTCCCATTGTAGCTCATCGAGTCTTGCACTTGATCCTTCTACATACGCACTTTCAAGATTAATGTCCCACTTCTTATTCGGCCCAACTTTCTAACTTTCAGAAAATCTTGATTGAAGACGAATGTTTGAATGAATGAACACCAACTTGTCAGCCCGTTTACAATTCAAACGATTTCTCTTCACACTGTGAATGTAAGAGTAGGTGCTCCAATTCCTCTCAGCCGAGGAACTACTTATAGGTTGTGACAAAACTTTTTTTGCAACCTCCGCTAACTCAGGTGTCTCTGAGCTGTATGTTGACCACCAATCGATGGCCTCCATAGTCACCGCATCCATCTGAGCCGCCGCCATAGAAAATAATCCCTTCTTCATGTGAAACCTTGCAAATTGTTCTCTCAAGAGTCATTGTTCTTCTTGGTTTTCACCAATTTTTTTAAAAGCCTCCATCACACCTAACACAACTTCTTTGTCCAAATTTGGAGCTTTTCTATCAACTCCACCGGGTGCTAATTTCTCGAGATAACAAACATCATAGAATCGTGGAGATAAAGCAAAACCCAGACGGTGCAAGGGAATAGTCATCTTCTCCCACCTAGCTAACACAATAGCCTCTACTTTTGGAAAGTCCGAAGCGTATTGATTTGTAGCCATGATATCTTTTATTTTTCCCAACATATTATCCATTTTTTCATAGATTTCACCCATTTTCGATCCTTCACCATCACAAAACTTGATTAACAAGAAAATTGGTTTTGTTATTGCAAGAATATTATCCACATCATCCCAAAATTCCTCACTCCTAATAGTATCAGCGACTAACAGTCCGGTCACTCTAGTGTTTTCATCCCCTTGCTTCACCCAATCCCTCCAAGAATTAAGTGCAATAGTTGTAGCAAGAGCCTCTCTACAATCCCTTAACCTTTTCAACAAAATATAATGTGACGCAAACCTAGTCTTGGCAACTTTCAACAACTCCAACTTTGAATTATCTCTAAAAATTGCCAACGCTTTGGTGTGATTAAGAAAATATTTCACAATAACTTTCCATCTCGCAAATGTATTCATCAACCAATCAAGTTCTTTGGCAAGATCTTTGAAAATCAAATTCAAGGTATGAACACAACAAGGAGACCAAAAGATGTGTTTATGTACCTTCTCAATTTCGATGCGTTGTCGGTCACAACTTGAAGGACATTGCTAGGTCCTACGGTTTCAATTGCTCCAAGCAAGAAATTCGCAATTGCCACACCGGTTTTTTCCAACCCAGAGAAGTCCTCCGCGTACATAAACATTGCACCGCGACTTGACGGCAATGACATTGATCAAGGGCTTGTGCGTGATATTCGACCACCCATCGGATACGATGGAAACACCTTGTGAATACCAAGTATCTTTAACCGGTGTGAGGTCTTTTTCCACATCTCTAACGCATTCATCTAGCAAAACCGTCCTTGCTTTCTCACTGGATGGAGGTTTGTAACCCGCGGGTGCCTTGTTGATGGCACTTACCATTTCTATAAATTGAGGATTGCGCAATACATTAAAGGGAATACCGTTTGCACACAATCCTCTCATGATTTTCAAATCCACCATACTTCTCTCCATTATTCCAAAGGAGTCTTGAATTGGTTTTTTTGAAGGAATACTTTGTGGTTTATTGAGCACAGAGTTTTTCAAGGATCGAGAGACTCCCGCCTTTTCAGCCGCCTTGACTTTATTCAACAGGCGTTCATACTTCTCCCGATCGTTGAGCAAAGCAGGGCACCGTTTAATTTCAGCCTTCTTCCCCGGTTGAGAACCAAAGAAATGGCCATGTATTCTAGTGTAAGAGCTTGTAAATTTTTGATTACAATCCTTACATATCCAAACCTTGGCACCCCCTGCATTTTTAGAGGTTGGAGCTCCAATAAAGGTTACTTCTTTAATAAAGGCCTGTCGTCTTTGCTATCCTGTTTTGAACTTTGACTTCCGGTGCAGACCTCTTCTGTAGCAACTAGAGTAGGAGCAGTTTCTATTATTTCTTCATCACTCAGGGTCATATCGGTGATATCATCGGACTGTGTTTCTAGCAATTTACGCTTGCCAAATACCATTTTGAAGAAAACAGAGAGTACAGAACAAAGAGGCAAGTAGAGAACAATAGTAGAGAGGTGCAGAGAGTGTGATACGTTGAGTACTAACGTAAGGCCTTTAAATAACTATGTAAAATACAAATGAAAAGTTGTTTCACAATCGCCGACGGCTTGGAGTTCGAAAATTGAGGGGTCGGGTCGTGTCGTGTCGTTTAGGTTCTTAAGGTACAAAGTTCGTAGTTCGTACTTCTGAAGCTCGTCAGTCGCTGACCGCTTGGAGTTCGAAAAATCAATTCAAAACGCAAGAGTTGCCGGTTCGTTGGACGCTGGAGGGAACGGCGAACGACAACCTGGAATCGGCGTACCCACTGGAAGACGGACGTGAACTGCAATGAGGAGCCGCCGTACCCGAAACGCGTACCTCAATCGATCCGAACGCGACTGTACCGCGATCCAGTAAGCGCGATCCGGATCGGAATACGCGGGCATATGTGCGATCCCTGTACCTATGGACTACACTCAATGTATCATCTTTCTTGTCATATGTAGCCTTGATCCCTTTGTCAATAACTACCATCTGAAACTGATAGGCACAGACTACACCTCCATCTGGAACACATATACAAACTACTGGCTTTTCCTTAACATTTTCCTTATCATTCCCAGTCAATCCTACTCCCAATCCCTTTCGGATATATTTCATAGAATTCATACCATCAATTTTGAAACCCTCAGTCAGCTTCTGCCCTTCCAACATTCCCTTTGATGAAGGATGGTACACAATATCTTTTGGAACACCTAAATGCAGTTCATGAACTCTACCCATCACATGTTTAAGATATTTTGGGTATTGATCAATTGCACTAACATGCTTTTGAGCTTCATAGGTAAGGTTATCTGATTTGTGAACTTCGGACTCTTCTAGATTATTTGATGAATCATAGTTTTCTGCCCCTTCTGGAATATCATCCTTTGTCTCCACTTCTTGAACTGAAGGTGTAGACAGTTTCAACTCAACGTTTGTTTCCAGCTGTGGGCCCCCTGAAGATCCTTTTCCTTTTGCGCCTGGAGTTATGGCTTCTGAAACGGCTGATTCCTTTAGGTACGTTGAAACTAGTGCATTAGGAGACTCTGATTGGGCTGAAATAGTTCGTGATTGCGATAAGGAAGCCTGTGAACAGAGAGAACTGGTTCGCATCTGTGAACTGGGAGAAGATATTGGCCAGGATACCTGCGAACTGGTAGAAGTTGTTTGCGATGGCGATGAAATCTGCGGACTAATGTGAGAAATGGTTTGCGACAAAGCCGGGGAAGTGGGGAAAGTTGATTGTGACTTGGAGGAAACCTGTGATATGAAACCTCCTGTCAATCTCGTTTCATTTGGAGGAGAAGAAGTTCTCGACTGCGATTGTGAAGACTTCTGCGAACGCGTGAGGGAGTCGATTGTCGATGACGAGCTGTAGGGAGAAACAGTAGTTCACGTAGAAGATTGCGAACTGAGAGAATTCCTTGACGATCGCGATCTCTCTGGATCGAAGCTGTTCAGTCATCACGGCCATGGATGTCGCTATGTTTGCCGCCAAATTTTCCATTGCAACACGCTGATCATCCACCCATGATCGTAATCCTTCTTGTACCTCGGACAGTTTCCCCTGCATCTCTGCAATATTCTGTTCCAGAGTATCCATGCGAAACTCCATTTTCGCTCTTGTTCTTACCATCCACCACAGAACGTAAGTTTTGCTGAGGTCGCCAATCAATTCCGATCACCAGGAGCGAGTGCTCTGATACCAATGTTAGAACACTGGTAAATCCGACTCAGTATACAGTAGATTCAATGAGAAATTAACAAGAACAAGATCAATAGGAAGTTTATAGATGAAGAAGAAGAGTATGGAACGTATACAAAGCCCAGGACGATTCAAGATGCCCAGTCTCCCGGTCTATTCCCAACTGAATACTTGCCTACCTTCTCCTTTTCTCCTTCCTTTCTATTTATAGTACTTCTATTTCTTTAAGGGCTGGCCCAATATTTCTGATTTACTAAATGGCCCAGAATCTTTATGCACTATTTCATACTATTTCTTTATTACACTCTTCAATACTATTCTAATATTCTTATTAGTATTATTCTCTATGTTCCTATCAATTTAGAACAGAAATATTAGACCACTTCTTTTTTGACAACATTAACAACATATCCTAAGACTCATTCCCAAATGGACAACCTTTTCCGTGTGTAATTGATGTTATTTCCTTGTGTATTAATATTGAAGTATATGTTTCCTCATTATAATGAGGCCTTGTTTTGTATATCTTGTTGTCCATTTCCTTCAGTTGTTACCTTTGGATGAGCATGCACTGATAGATGTTGCACTTTCTTTTTTCCAGATACCAACAATGGGAGAAATGGTGGATATGTGGAAGAACCAATATAATTTGTTTGCAATACTATATAGCTGGTTTCTTGCAAAGGCATGATGACAGCCTGAGTTTCTGTCTAGTTTTCACATTGTGTTGCTAATAACTTTTGGTACCATAGTCACTCTCACAAAACTACTTGCTATATACTGGTAGGTTGCCAGTAAGCTTGATGCTTTACCCGGGGACGAGTTTCGTGTTGCATATGAAGAAGCAATGAAGTATGGTGGCAAGGTGATTCTTGGAGACCGCCCTGTTGAGGTTAGAGATAATATATTCATTTAGCCATATAATGTGTTTTAAGAAGTAATTTATGTAAGTTAGGGATTTTGGCACGCAGTCATCATGCGTGTACCAAATATAATTCAAGATTTGAATACTACCGTAGTATAGTGAAGTAGAGTTCCTATCCACCGGGAATGGTATTTTTCTTGTATGGCTTGTAATGAAAAGGGGGTTTGAGGTTTATGTGAACTTGAAAATATTAAAACACCAAGATGAATTAAATAAGAGAGTAAATAAATCATTTGAAATTGAGACTTGATTTTGCTAATTTCCACTTGATAAAAAGCCAGTTGATCACGGTAATCTAGGGATTGCAATGGGGCGGATCGGGCCGGATATACCCTTACCCGCAACCCCCCATTAGTTAATTTATTATCCTCGAATCCGCCTCATTCCCCGTTGAATAATTTTTTACCCGAATTGCACCTGGTTGGAATGGGGAACAGGTTTCCCCATGGGTAACCGCATTATTAAAATATAATTTTGTTTTTCCAAAATAGTATCACTAACAGACAATTCATGTTCTTGTTGAATCCAGATGATCTTTCTGTTTTAATGTCTCAGGCCTCCTTCTCTGGTATTGGAGTCTTATTTTGCAAAGGCCTCCCCTGATTTTCAGGTGTCTAGTAATTAAATCTGGATGGATTTACTCCCTTGTCCTTCCATCCCCCTTTTGTCTATCTCTCTGATTTTCAATTCCATATTCTTCTCTTCCACTAATAGAGCCTTGTCCATGAGTTCAGTTAACCCACCAGACTGGTACAACTTTATTTCAGCGCTTACCTCTTCTTTGAGCCCATTCAGAAAAACCCTTTCAACATTTCTGGATCAGTATTTCTCAGTGGCACTACAACTAGTTCAAACTGATCTGTACTCCATTAGAGATCCAATCTGTTTAATACTGAGCATCGGACCAAAGGGATTACGTACTAACTCTTGTTGGAATCTCCGGATCAAGGCATCCTTGAATATTTCCCATTTGTGATAAACGGTTTGTTCATCCCTCCACAGGAACGGAGGAACCAAATTAGAGCCTTATCAGCCATAGCGATCAACATGATCTCCACTTTGTCAGCCTCTGACACCTGATTCATCTTAAAAAATGTTCCACCGTGATAATCCAAGCATAAGCATCATCACCATTAAATCTACCTTCCTTCCAGTACATATTCGTTCATTGGCTCTTGCATTTTCATGTGTGAATGAAGTAGACAAAGATTCACTAAAGTTACCTCTGGAGCGAGATGCATTCACACTCTCCGATGGTGGCCGGCGATGAGAAGTCCTTGATCTTCTCCTGGTTCTCCTGCGATCATTGTGAAGCATGAGATTCCACATTTCTTCCATCATGGTTCGCATCTTTGTCATTGATCGTTCCATGTTGTCCATCCGATTCTCTATTTCCGAACTAGTGAAGACTATCCACAGGCTTTGCGATCAATGCTCCTGATGCCAAATGATAGATACCACTCATACCAGCACACGACCACCCTAGAATACTAAGATGCATTGACTATTGATCAATATAGGTCCATTACATGATCTGAAATAGTAATAAGCAACAAAGAGGAAAATGCGGAAAAGGAGAGATACAACGATGAGACCATTCAAGAGTCTCTCTCTCCTAGACTGCAAGAATATCTCTCTCCTACAGTACCACCCGATACTCTTATTCCTTCCACTTTCTGAAATGTCCACCTCAACGAAGTTAGTTAGGTTTTCTACCTCCCCTTCTAATTACCTATTGACCTTTCTGCCCCTCCTAGTATAGACTTTAGAAAAATCCCTATTAGGATTAATTTTTAACGTATTCGAGTTCTCATCAAGTCGAGATGACATCTTTTTGTACATTGACAACCCAAGACAACATTTTTTATTATTGGTCAAGATGGCGTTTTTACTAGTATTTTTCTGCAAGTTAATATGCCAAGCAAATGTTTATCGATATTACATCTATTTTGTTGTCAGGATGACATAATTGCTTGATATAACAATTTGATTTGGTGATCGTAACTTGACTTAATGATGGTATTGTAATGTCATCATGATAACATTCTTGTTTGAGGGTAACATTCTCGTTGATACATGATCTTTTTTAAATAAGGATATTTTTGGCTTCACTCCAATTTTTATTCCTACTTGATGACACATAAAAGTCATGATCCTTTTACATTTACAACATATTTTAGTCTTATTTAGGTCATTTTCTCATGAAATTACTACTAACAGTAACAAGAAACTAATATTAATACTAATCAAGGAAACTAAAAATAATACTACAACATCCAAGCCTTAGTCCCAAAAGATTTTGAGGTCAGCTAACATGAATCAAAACATGATATTAGAGCCAAAAGAAAAAGAAAAATAAGAAAAATAAAAAGATAAAGTATGATAGAAAAGATAAGATAAATATAAAATGAAGATAAATATGACAAGATAGAAAAGATAAAAAGAACATAGATAAAATAAAAAGGATAAAGAATATAAGAAAGATAAAAAAATAAAAGGATTAAAAATAATAAGAGATCAATCCACACAAATGTCTGCCCTCCATTTCGCTGTCACTTTCATCCAACCTAAGAAAAACATATCACTCCTGACTCCTCTAATCCAGGTCTGTTTGGATCTTCCTCACCATCTACTCCCCGCCTCTTCCCCACACTTTTCAACTCATCTAACAGATGCATCACCGTTCTTCTACACAGATGACCAAACCACCACAATTTCTACCATGTCATTCCTACCTTTTGTTTGATTTTCTCATTCCTCAAACAGTTTTCTCTAGTATGTCCACACATCCAACGCAACATGCACATCTCTGCTGTTAGGATTTAGAACTTCGACAAACACACACACAAACGATTGTAAGATGCGAGAACTAGAGAAGAACCCAAGAATTTAAAGTGGTTCACCAGTTAGACTAACTGGCCAGTCCACTGTGCGAACTAGAGAGATTTTATTACTTAGAGAATGCTTTACAATTTCAGGTGGTATATTTAGGGTTCAGTAGTGATCTATTTATAGAGAAAGGACGAGAATTCGAGAGAATGGGCTTTCTTTGGCCCCAAGTAACCTAGCTTCAGCCCCAAGCAATTGCACTGATTTCGGCCCCAAGCAACCAAACATCTTTCCTTCATCATTTGAGTGGATCAGATCTCCACCACCCAACAATCTCTCATTTGTAGGCTGATCAACTCTCTAACTAGCTGTCATCCAAGACTCGATCTCCGTGAAAAAACTCATCTCTCTGCAATCTCTTTCTCTCTTCATCTCTAGTTTGTGCCTTCTCTTCAATCAGCTAGAAGGCCAGTTGAACCCAAAGCTTCAACTTCTTTGTCATCTGAACTCCTACTGCTTCATGGAGTCTCACATGAGCTCCCATTGGAAACTGAGTCCTCAGCTGTTAGGCATACTGTACGAATTGTACGAATTATAAGAAGTAATAGTCTGTTGCAGTTCAGTTCTGTTGAGCAGTCTTCTATATAAACACTCTGTACACTTCATATCAATCTAATGAGAATATTCTATTTCTATCATTTTCTCTCTCTACTGTAATTCTATTATGGTATCAGAGATTTAGCTCAATCCAACCATGGTGATCTCCACATCTACTTCATCTTCAGCTACTAGAAGCTCTACTGTCTAGTAATCTTCACTCATCCTCTTCCGATCAAGCTTGACTCCAACAACTTTTTATTTTGGAAGCATCATGTCGAATCTGTTATGTGTGCACACAAACTCCTGAAATTTGTTGAAAAACCTAATATTCCAGAACAATTCATCGCCGGCAGTGATGGTGAGATTGTAACAGTGAACAAAGACTACATTATCTGGGAGCAACGAGACCAGATGTTATTTTCTTTGCTTCTCGCATCACTTACTGAATCGCTCCATGTTCGCGTCATCCAGTGTCGCCATTCATATCAACTCTGGAATGAAATTCACAAGTTCTTCCAGTCAAATATTGTCGCACGAGCTCGTCAGCTCAAATCCGAGCTCTACAACACCGGCAAAGGTGATCGATCACAAACTGTCGTTGATCGTCTTACGGCCATACGAGAACCTATCTCTACCAAGGATCACATTAATGTCATCTTTGAAGGACTTCCACAAGAATATGAGGCTCTCGTATCATCTATTTCTTCACGAAGCATTTTGGATCCAGTTACTCTCTCTAAGCTTGAAGCTCTACTTAGCCAAAGAACTTCGAGTTCGGAAACAGCGTGATTCCTCACAACAAAACCTGTTTTCTGCGAATGTTGCTCGCTTAGAAACCTCAACTCAAACTAATGATTCTACGCCTCAAAACACTACCAAAAATTTATCTGCTTATGTTGCTCAATTCTCTAATCCAAGTAACAATGCTCCCTACAGAGGCAGAGGTCGTGGAGGTTTTCCAGAAGACGTGGTGGTCATTTTGGAGGTCGTAATCCTGTTATTTGCCAAGTTTGTGGCAAACGTGGTCATATTGCATTCATATGCTATCATCGTTATAACCCTGCATATACCACTCCCATTCCTGGCACTTCCAATCAATCTTATTCCCAACAGGTTTACCAACCTAATGCAGCCTGGAGCGAGATGTCTCGTGCTCCTATCACCTCTCCACTTAATCCTGATGCACCTACAACAAGGTGGAGTCAGCAGTCCCAAACTCCTATACCCACTGCAGCCTAGGCATCTGTCAATTCCTCTATATTAGGACCTGCTCCACAGTCTCACAATTGGTTTCCAGATTCAGGAGCAACACATCATGTTACCGTTGATCCACTCAATCTACAGTACAGTGAACCTGCTATTACAACTGATAAGCTTTTTATTGGCAATGGTCAAGGTTTGGATATTAAGTCTATTGGTTTCTCTTTCTTTTCTTCCCCCTGTCAGCCCTCTCATACTCTTTTCCTAAATAACATTCTTCATGTTCCTTCCATAACCAAAAATTTACTTGGTGTTAGTCAATTTGCCAAAGATAACAATGTTTTCTTTGAGTGTTATCCTCATGAATGCTTTGTGAAATTACAGGCTTCTAAGAAGGTAGAGGGTTCTGTTACATGGAGTTTTGGGTGCAGATGATCTTTACAAGTTTCAGTCTCTTCCCGCTCTTGGTTCCTGTCAATCTGCTCCTATTAATAAATCTGCTATGCTTCCCCTCTTTCAGAGTTCACTTGTAATAACATTCAGTCTTGTAGTAGTTCTATATCTTGTAATCCGTGGCATTTAAGGCTTGGGGTGTTTTTACTTTGAATATAATTTGCCGGTCTGGTCTGGTTTGTTTAAGTCTCATCTGAACTGGTCAGGTAAACGTCTGGTCTGATAAATGTCTGGTCTCTCTGTATTTTATAACTACAGAAGTCAAGTCTGGTTTGATCTAGTCTGTTTAAGTCTGGTCTGATCTGTTTAAGTTTGGTCTGGTTTGGTCTGGGACTGAAAACAGTCCAAGTAAAAACATCCTTGGTCATCCTCATCTTAAGGCTCTAAAGTCTGTACTGAAACATTGTAATGTTCCTACTGTTAATAAGAATGAAATTGAATTTTGTTCTTCTTGTTGTCTTGGCAAAGCACATAGATTACCATCCTCTCCCTCCACCTTGAAAATTGAATTTTCACTGAGTTTTTGAATTAACATTCACTGATCTATGGGGACCAGCTCCCATTTTTTCCTTTGATGGTTACTCATACCATATCTCCTTCATTGATGCTTTCACAAGATATACATGGATTTATTTCCTTAAAAAGAAATCTGATTCTCTTTTAGCTTTTCAAAACTTTTTATCAATACATTCTGAATCAGTTTTCTGTCTCTATCAAATCTATTCAATCTGATAGCGGAGGTGAATTTAGATCCTTCACCAACTTCTTAACTGAAAAAGGCATCACGCATAGAATCATTTGCCTTCACACTCACCATCAAAATGGTGTAGTTGAAAGAAAACATCGTACCATTTCTGAGAAAGGCCTGTCACTTCTAGCTCATTCTTCCTTGCCTCACAAGTTTTGGGACACTGCCTTTGCCACCTCAATCCATCTTACAATTAGAACTCCTTCCAAGTCGATTGCTAATTCCAGCCCATATTTCAAACTTTATGGATCTATTCCAGATTACTCCTTTCTCAGCATATTTGGATGTTCTCGTTTTCCTTTCATTAGTCTAAATTCCCTTATCCTATTCTCTTTTCTTCCATTCCCACAAGTTCAATACTAATTCTTATTCACAGTCTGTCCCCATAACTATTCTTAATCCAAATTCATCACCAATCTTTCCTGATTCCTCTCAATCTAACTTATCCACATCTCATAATACTTCCTCTTCATTTCAAACTGGTTCATCTCATTCTGCATCTTCAAAACCACCATTGCAGCCTGGTTCATCTCATTCTGTCTCTTCAGAACCACCATTACAGACTGACTTAGTGATTTATCTCCTAATGCTTTATCTCAGTCTCCTATATCATCTACATCAACCTCATCTTCTTCACCTATTGTTACTCTGACTAACACTCACCCTATGCAAACTAGAGCTAAATCTGGGTTTGTTAAACCTAGATTTGATCTTATCTTACTGTTAGCTCATATAGAGCCCAAATAAGTCAAGCAGGCACTCTCTCTCCTCAGTGGTTTGCTGCTATGAAATCTGAATATGATGCATTGATTTCTAACAATACATGGTCACTTGTTCCTCCTCCCCCAGATAAACAAGCAATTGCGTGTAAATGGGTGTTCAGAGTAAAGAAGAACCCTGATGGTTCTTTGAACATGTTTAAAGCCAGATTAGTTGCAAAAGGTTTTCATCAAAGGTTTGGTTTCTATATAAACACCATCAGAGTTCTCCTTACTCTTGCTGTCTCCAATGAATGGGAATGGTCTGTTCAACAGTTGGATGTCAATAATGCCTTCCTTATTGGGGACCTTGATGAAGAAGTTTACATGGTACAACCCCCCAGGGTTTCAAGCAACAGGCGGATGTCATTGGAAACAATTCTGCTGCTATCCAACTGCATTCATCCTTTTCTCTTAAACATTTCGGAGACATTGATTTCTTTTTAGAAAAACCAAGTTCACAAACTTCAAGATGGCAACCTACATCTATCTCAAGCTAAACATGTCAGAGATTTACTCCATCAAGTTGGCATGCTAGACTCCAAGGGGGTTATGAAGGAAGTGACTGACTGCATGATCCTTCTTTTTACAGATCTATAGTAGGAATCTTGCAATATGCTACCCTAACAAGACCTGAGATAAGCTATGCTGTGAATAAGGTCTGTCAAGCATATTTTGCGCTATCTCTCTAACATTATCACACATGGGATTCTTATTAAACCTATTCCTTTAAGTACATGCCTCTACTCTCATTTCAGCATTTTGTGATGTTGATTGGACCTCTGATCCCACTGATAGAAGATCTACATCAGGGTCCTGCATTTTTCTTGGTCCAAATATCATTTCTTGGTGGTCCAAGAAACAACAACGTGTTGCTAGGTCCTCAGCAGAGGCTGAGTATGGAAGTCTTGCTGATACCACAACAGAGCTTCTATGGGTTCAGTTTCTTCTTCATGAACTTCAAGTTCCTTTTGTCACTCCAAAGGTCTACTGTGACAAGCTCAGCTCCGTTCAACTAGCACATAATCCTGTGCTACACTCTCGCATCAAGCATATGGAGATTGATCTGTTTTTGTGCGTGAGAAAGTTCAGTTGAAGCAACTACAAGTGTTTCACATTCCTGCTCAACGCCAACTTGTTGATGTCCTAACTAAACCATTATCTGCTTCATCTTTTCTTGACATAAGAACCAAACTCGGTGTGATTGCGCTTCCAAATCAATCACCCTGAGTTTGAAGGGGGAATGTTAGGCATAATGTACGAATTATAATAAGTAATGGTCTGTTGCAGTTAAACTTAGTTAGTTCAGTTCTGTTGAGCAGTCTTCTATATAAACACTTTTCTATATGAACACTTTGTACACTTCATATCAATCTACTGAGAATATTCTACTGTATCATTTTCTCTCTCTACTTTAATTCTATTAAACACCTTGATCTAACTTTTCTGCTCCCACCGCAACTTGAAATCTCGACTGATTTCGTACTGGAACTTGAGTCGACACTGAAACTTTTTCTATCACTACAACTTGAGGTAAGGATGTGACATCAGCTTCTTTGTCCAAACTTTGGTCGTCTGATTATTCTTCATGAAAGTAACACTTTTTTGTCTTCCTTAAACACTCTGCTTAGAAAAACGTTCACATTCTTCAAATTTATGCTTCTAGAAGTCTTTGTCTTTATACTCGTCCCTTTCTCTTTAACTGTTGCTTTTGCTCCATCTTCACCAATCTCAACCATGTACCCAAGGTTTGGAAAGGTGAAATCGGGCCCCAAGGCTTTCGGCATAAGCCTTGAAAATTGAAATTAAATTCTTAAGTGTTGCTACAACATATAGTATAGAATTATAGTTAATTCATAACAATAGCGCAGCTAAACAAAATCACAAACAAATAACATAAAAATAAAGTATACAAGTCAAAATAACATAAAGTTGAAATACCAAAGTCAAAACTTAAAAGATCATAAAACACTAAAATTCCAATAGAAAATAACATAAAAGCCTAGGGATTTAAGTTTGCATAAAACTAGTAATTTGCGTTTTACCCTTCTTAGAATTAAATCGTCAAATCTACGTTGCATAACATCTAGAGGTTTATGTGGTCAACTAACGTTGCAATATAAATCATTCTCTAAAAGAATAAACAATTAAACATACAAAATATTGAGGATAGAAATATGCCTAATCTTGTATGTTACTTGTGTGTTATTTTATTATTCAACGGGGTTTTGTGTAGATGAATGTGTGCCATAACGGGACTCACACATAGCGAAAACCACACTCTCTCTGCCTTAACCGGAGTTGATAATATAATAGTGATACCTTACTCATAAGAATTGACAAAATACATATAATGACCTGTAGTTAACGTTCGGTGAATCCCGTGCTTTGGTTATGTTATCATATGTTCACTTGATCAACAAAATCCCTGCACTTTACTTTTATTCTCCATTTTAATTCTCAAAATTGAACATTATCGAACGCATAGTAGTCAATGGCGAGATATGGTGTGCGCCATAAGCGCCAGCGCTATGAAAAAGTGGTCGTCGCCATGCGCCATGAAAATGCCTTTGAGCCATGGCGATCGACATGCGCCATGACAACTATGATTGAACAACGTTTCCTTGTGAATTCAACCCGGTATTTTACCGGAATTTATTACTACATCGGCATTTGTATACTTGCAAGTGTAGCTCGGTCAATGATATATCAAATCTAATTGGTGCGGTTGATTTTTCTAGAACCATATTAGCCTATTGCTTATTGACAATAACTTTTTTTATACTTCAATTCTTGAGTATAACTATTTAGTTTTTTGTTTCATTGTAGCTCTTCATTATCTAGAAAATGAAGCTGTATTAAAGATCATCATTATCAATCTTGTTTTGTTACTCCATGAACATAAATGCAATGATCAGGTTTATCTTTTCTAGTTTTATGCAACATTTTACCTTTCGAGGTTTATATGCTATAACTTTTCTTATCCACAATTTTGAAAGCATATGCCATCGTTGTGGATGTCATTTGATTATATTTATATCAGTGCAATTTCTATTTATTGAAAGACTAGGAATACCAAATCAATATAATATGATTCCCCTGCAGGTGACATTGAGAAGGACTTGGGCAAAAATGCCCCTATGGCACAAGACAAAATTAGTTTATTCGTTGATGTTTCAAGCCTTATTTCTACCAAGCCCCGACGACATCAATAGAATGGTCTGCCTTCTTTTGCTATATTATCTTAGGTGGTTTCTTTTATATTGCAAACCCATATTAAAACAATAAAACCCCTCCCCCCAAAGTAGAGTCATGTGTTCTATTTAAAAATAAAGTTCTTCCAGAAGAGGATTCGTGTTTGAACAAAACAGATCTATTTTCCATATCCCCCCCCCCCCCCCCCCCATAGAAAAGGAAAAAGGTTAGAACCAAGTAAAGTATTGGTAAATGACCAAATAAACTGGGAAAATGTATGATGACTTGTAAGAGTTTTACATTTGTACGTCACAAAAACTAAACATTGCACCTTGATCAAACAACAACATTATCCCAGTGCCGCAAAGGCTCCCACCTATGGTGGGGTAGGAGGGTCGGATGTACGCAGTCTTACCCTTGTACTAAAGCATAGAGGGTCTGTTTCCGGATGAAAATTGCAACGAAATTTGCATGGACTAATTGTTGGTTCATAACAAAGCGCGGTCAGTTTTTTTGATCAAACATGTTAGCTTTTTTTTGTTTGAGGGGATGCTTTTGACTCCATGATGGTGTACGTTTTGTTTCAATGCAGTTGAAAGAAATGGATGATGTTGATATGCTGACTCTTGTTATTCAAGAAATAAGCAAACAATTCCCAACTCTAATGGAGACACTAGTACATGAGCGGGATCAGTAAGTGATCTGTGCTTGTGGAAAAAGGCATTATAACTTTTACCTCCATATTTAGGATAAGTTCACACTGAGCAAACCAAACGAAAGATTATATGCCTCTCTGAATTCTGATATCACTGTGCTCTTACTTCTCAGGTATATGTCGTCAAGACTACATGCGGTTGCTTGTCAACATAATTCTGTTTTGGCTGTTGTTGGAAAGGGACACCTCATCGGAATGCAGAAACACTGGCAGAAACCCATTAAGGTTTGTATTTAAGTGTTTAAATTTTGAAAGCAGTCGTGGAGTCTCCCCCTGTTATGGTGGCCCAGGGATCTAATTGACCCTTGGCTATGTGTGTTTTTTACAATCTAAAGAAGCCTGAGAAGGTTTGTCACCATCAGAATTTGCACCAAATATTTGAGGGCCCATTTGGAACTTAGAAAATGCTGGGGAAAGAAAATTGGGAGGAAAGCTGAAAGCAAAGAAAACTTGAAAATTTATTCATTTTAGATAGTTCAAGCTTATTTTATTTCTTTATTTCTGTTAAATATGAGACCAAGATATTCCTAAATCTCAAGAGTTTAAATAACTAGATCAGTTGTCATTTTCCTTGCATTTACAAGATAAAACCAAATGTAAGAAAAATGACTTTCACTGATCGTTCATTTACTCCTTCCACTACCATTTCCTAAAAGAATGGTTATTCGTTTTTTTGGGGTGGGGGTGGAGTTCAGTAGCTCACATAAGGCACGCCTTGTTGGCTACATCCAGGGGTACAAGGGCAGATCCATTTATATATGGGGGAGTCCCCTCGAATCGCCCGATAGATTTGGAACTAGTTAAACGTATACTCTCAACGGCCCTTTAAGGTCCGTCCCACTAATATTGTCTAATACTAAATTTGGTAAAGTTTGTGTGGATCTAAATCATTCCTACTTTATTCTTACTTTATCAATTCAATATCAATCACATAAACTCACTTTTCTTAATAACCACACCTCCTTCTTATGTCCCAATGTTAGTGGGATGGAGGTAGGGGTGGGCAAAATGGTTTGGTTTAACCGAAGTGAACCGAACCAAACCGAAAATTGGTGTTTTGGTTTGGTAAGAATTTCCCCAAATCGAATGGTTTGGTTTGGTTTGAAACCGAACAATCGTAAACCGAACCGAACACCAAACAACTTATATACATACACACACACAAACATATTTGTACGACATATTTTATAATTGTATTTGTTATGTTTGGCGATAACAATAGTAAATTGTATTTATATTTTTTACATCATTCATTTGAATAAAATTGTGAATATTACAACATTTGTACCAGACTCCTTTAGTTTTTTTTGAATATTTTATGTAATATTATAAATGCTAATCAACTATAATCTTATTTTTTGTGAGAAGTGAATCTTTTCCTAGTGGTCGAAAAAAATGTTAGAAGTTTTAGTTTATAATATTTTATTATTTTCTATCTTTTATTTCCTTTTACATTTTATTTAAATAATCAATAAAAGAAGATTAGATGGACTACTACTTTCATTTTCTAATTCTAAAATATAGAACTTGATCAAATAAAATAATAAACATAAGAAAATGAATCAAATCGAACTAAATTAAACCTAATACTTTGCACTTTGGTAAACCGAACTTCAAACCGAACCGAAACCGAACCGAAACCGAAATACAAATGGTTTTAGTTTGGTACAAATTCTCCCTAACTCCGAAACAAAACCGAAATTGAAGAAAACCGAACCGTAAACCGAATTGCCCACCCCTAGACGGAGGTAGTAAGTAATAAATTTAGTGACATTTGTATATACTGCTTCAACAGAGAAAATACTATGCCCCCAATAAAAAGAAATTCAATTTAGGTTAAAAATGATTATCTAAAGAGATTAGTGGTCCAAAAAGGGGTTTCCCTTAAATATTACTCCTTCCGCCCCCTATCTTTGTCCCATTTAAACTTTTGCTCCCTCACACTAAGTTTGTCCCATACCATATTTGGTAATATTCGGGTAGTTGTAGTTCATTATTACTTGATTCAATTTTACTAATTCAATACCAACTATACATTTTCACTTTTTGAAAATAACAAGAGTCAGCATATCAACATCATCCAGTCTTACGGATGATGTTGATATGCTGACTCGTTTTTATCATCTAGTCTAAAATAGATGATATGGCAAATAAGAGAATGTGTAATTAGTACTCCCTCCCTCCATTTTACCCTTCTTACTTTCCTTTTTGGGTTGTGCCAAAATAAATGTCACATGTCTGTTTTTGGATAGAATTATGTGGTTCATAACATTTCACTTTATTTACTCAAATCTCAACCACAACTTTTACCTGTTCAATCACTTTATTAATAATTGTGCCAAACCCAAATAATACACATAAAATGAAAATACACTCACGTTATTCTATACTATGAAAATAAACTTTACACTATTTTGTTAGAGCTTGTAAAATATGGTATTTTGAGTATATTCTAAGAAATAATTTTAATAGGTATATAATATAATGGGGTTGGGGTTGATAACTATAATGTTAAAAATGTATTGTTTTTAATATTTAATGATTAAATTGTCATTTAAGATTGATAATTGTTACCTAAAATAGAAATCAGAACCTTTATATGGGACATCCAAAAAAAAGTGGAAGTTGTTCTACAGGACAGAGGGAGTATTATATTTGTGCGATGCTTGGGTCTAATTACTAAAAGAGTAAATCATATTTAAGTGCACACATTTGATCATTTTTATTGTCTATGAAAATAGTAGTTAATCATCATCATCATCACCCTAGTGCCACAAAGGCTCCCACCTACGGTGGGGTGGGGGGGTCAGATGTACGGAGCCTTATCTCTTTACTAAAGCACAAAGCGACTGTTTCAGATGATCTATAGTCAAAATCGCGTCAAAAATTGCATGGACCAACTGCTGCTCCATAACATAATAGTTAATAAAGAGTAAAAATATACTACCTCCGTCCGAAAAATGAAGGTTACACTTTACTCTTCTTCAGTGGTCAATGTAGTTGCATTTTGAACTCTAATTTTCTTTTTTATTATATTTAAATTCAAAATTTGCGACTCTAGACCTTTCAATGTTGTTTATGAATGTGTAAGTTTTAATTTCTAATTCCGATTAAAATTTGATAGGCGAAGTTTTCTTTATACTCGGTCAAAGATCAAAATCTATAATGGTCATTTTGGGATGGAGGTAGTAGTTACTAATTTTCATAATTTGCAGCTGAAGGAATTGCTTAGCAGCTTGCCTGCGAATAAACCCACATGGCATGTGAAGAAAATTTTGACAGCTCTTGGAATTGCAGTTGCAGGAGCAGCCCTTTCATCACGTCTGTATTTCTCAACTAAGAAGTAAGCAAACGTGCTTTCTAGTATACCATAATAGGCCCATTAACTGTATGAATACAGACCACTACACAGACACACACATACACACACAGAGAAAGGCTTTGCAGGTGTGGAAGAGTCCATCCTAAAAATGTGTGAGCACACAAAGTCCTTTAGTTTTGCCTTCTAATAGATGCAGATTTTTTTCTTCCCTTTGAAAGAGTTGGATGTTTGAGCAATGGAAATAGTTTGTTTTGCATAGACTCTCTTTTCACATTGGTTTTTTTTTCTATTGGTAATTTGGGTTCGGAAACCAACTGTGGTGATGAGTCCCTATGAAAGAGGATTTAATTATTTATTTATTTATTCATTCATGTATTTGTCTCATAGTTAATTAAATCAGAACTCGGCTTTATATATCATTGATATGGACATACTTGTGTCGTGTAAAAGTTTTTTTATTAATAAATAAATAAAATAAAATGATGAAAGATGGAGGGTATGACATGAATACATGACGGGGTCACGGATCCTAATAAAAAATCAATCAAAACAGAGATGCAGCAATTAAATCTTTTTAAAAAATCCATCTTTGCCTCTTCGGGGAGCAATAGGACCAGGTGGTTTTAGAGCACGTTTTCACCTGAAATTATTAAAATTTAATCTCACTTGTCCTCTTCCTCGAGCAAATATATCATCAGGTTTTTGAGATTTATCAGCCTTAAAAACCTGCGAGTAAGACTGTAAAAGATTGAACATGTAGTTTCAAAGCCCTCTAATTGAGAAAAGGGTCAAATAAGGTCTTTCTACTATCATGAAATAGTCACATAAGACCATATACTCATTAAAGTGTCATATAAGTACATCTACTTCTAAAAAACAATCAAATGAGTCCTAATGACCTATTAAACACCTCTTAATCCCGGTTTCAACGTACTTCTGACCATCTTTTTAGAATACATTATACCGTATAGATGGACTTGGGCCGGGTGGCCCGACCCGGAACCGGCCCGGGAGTGGTACTGTTCTGGCCCGTCCCGACTCGGTGGCTCGGTCAGTGACCGGTCCGGTTAGGCCCGACCCGTGGGTTTTCTGGTCCGGGCTCGTGTCACCCAAAACAAGACCCGAGCCCGGTTCGGGCCAAATTTGATTTTATTTTACACGACATATGTTGAATATTTAATTAAGATTGGTTGAAATACAAGTCAAAAAATCGACATGTAAGCTAAAATCTGGATTAGGAGGTGTTAAATAAGTCATTAGGATTCATTTGATTGTTTTATACAAGTAGAAGTATTTATATGACACTTTATTGAGTACATGGCCTTATGTGACTATTTCGTAACAGTGGATTCAATTGCTCTTGTAGTTCCTTCCGTCTTCTTGGCTGGTATTATTTTGATGAGTAGCAAAGCTATGGAGTATGCCTCAAGTAAAGAAACTATCTACCCATTAGGAATATCACTAGCGAGCTACTGGCCGATTTGAGGTCTACTTGTGAGTTGTGAACCAAAGTAGCTGTGTAGAGTTCTATAGAATTCTACTACAACCTTATTACTTATGAGAATCTATTAAAATTTTGTTGATATGAAATTCTATTAAAATCTATAAAACCTATCATCCTAGAATCTTATGCTACATTAATACATGATGCTCCATTGCTCGACGACACATTTCACCAAAACTCTTCATACAAGCTAGGGTAATTCTTTAAGCACTTTCTTGTGTCCTTTCTTGTAATGGCCTGTTACTCGTTACTCTCCTTTGCTACTTGTTGCCCAAATGCATTGAAATATATATAAGTTTAGTACAACCTTATAGAATCTATGGAGTTCTATTTACAATTAATGGAATTCTAAATCTTTTGAAATCATTTAAATTCTATATTTTGGAACACGTTCTAGTTTTCCTATGGTAATTTTTTTAATTAAATTGATTTCAGTCTTAGGATGTTTTTACTTGGACTGTAATTTGTTGGTCTGATTTGGTCTGGTCTGGGGTCTTTGTATTTTTATAACTATTCAGGTCTGGTTTGGCAGCAATTACATTCCAAGTAAAAACATCCTTAAACTAGACTTTGGTAGTAGCAAAATATACATAAAGAACAAATTATCAAAGGAATTCGAAAAATTACAATCTAATTAAAATACATCCCAAATCTTCAAGGTTAGTCCTATTTTGAGAAAATGGTTCTCTATATGAAATAAAGAGTTAACGATTGTGTTGCTATTATTGTGTTGTTATCCTTTTGGAATGTTCTAATACTTTATCCCATTTTGTTAACCATAGTTTGATCATGCATCCTTGACCCAGTCTTAGAATCAATCACATTAAAAGAAGTCACCTGAGCAAATCCCCACATGAGCAATTGTAAGCCAACTATGGTTGATCTAAATTTCCTGTCACTTATCCTCTTCTGACTCAGACTCGACACAGCAACCAAAAAGAAAAATAAGTTACCCTGGGCAAAACATATCTAACACATAAATCACCTACCGTCCTTACCAAAATAGTAAACTAAAATGAGAACAAAAATTTGTTAACGTAGCAAATATTAGAGTTTTTTCTGGATTAATGTTAATTAATTAAATAATTACGGAATTAATGCTGGGTTAAAACTATTTACCAATATACTGTTGGGCTTAACTCTGGTCGGGGAAAGTCGCCAAATCGTTTGGTCCCCCTGCACCTGCAAAACCAGAATCTTCATAAAAAAGATGAAAACCAAACACATTTTGACAAATCCTGGTCAGAAACACAGAACAAAAACAAAAGCCTAATGAAATTCAACACATGAGCATAGGCTTGGATTCGGTTCGGGCCACTCGGCTCGTGACCCGGCCCGGCCTGCAACTGTGGTGGCCCGGGACCGGCCCGGTCTGGCGGTCCAGGATCGGGTGTAGTCCCGAACCGGGGGGAAGGGCGCAGCGGGCTCGGTTCAGGCAAAAGGCGACCAGGCCCGGTCTGGTCAGGTTCGGGTCCGGGTTGGGTCCAACGGTAAAAAAAAATTGTCTTGGGTCACAACTAGTCGTTGGGGGTGGGTTGGGGACTACCCAAACGGATATATAGTCGTTGGGTGGGCTGGAAGTGGGGTTGGGGTGGGGTAAAAAAACTATAAATACTCTTAATCTTAAACATTTTTCCATATCTCTTCTCCAAAATCCTACTCTCTACTCTCTAATTATCTTCATCTTCTCAAATTCTCTTATTCTCCAATATATTATATATCTACTTATATTATTTATCTACTTAGAAATACGTATATTATAATTTATATTACTTATATTTCTTATCTACTTATATAATTATATATTAATTATCTATTTATAAATACATATTATATTACTTATATTTGTTATATACTTAATCTCTACTTATATCCACTAAATATATACATATTACAATTTATATACTTAGTTAGAATTGTTAGAATTTTATTTCATTAAAGTTAGAATTGTTAGAATTTTATTTCATTAGTTCGAATTATTTTTATAAATTAATATTTGTTACATTTTTAAGATGGAAGGTGGTAGATATTCGGTTGATATGGGTAACCTCGAGCGCAACCGAACGAACGAGCTTGCGAGGGAGAAATCCCGCAAAGGTAAATCACATATCGGCTCTTCATCTCAAAGCCGATATGATTTTGATAGAGGTTACGCAAGGAGGGATGGAGATGCCATGACCGACGAACAGCTTGAACAAGAATTGCACCGACATAATAGTCGGTTTTTCCAAGACCAGCCGAGGATCGTTGACGAAGAAGAGCTTGAGGACGATGATGTGGAGGAAGTAATTCCGGAGAGCCACGACGGCGACACGGAGGAGGGTGGTGGAAGCCACGACGCCGACGAGCCTGCCTCATCCCAAACATGTACGAAAAAAAGTAGATCTGAACTAATGCAAAATAATTTTGATAAGTGGAAGGACCCAAACACCGGGAATTGGAACACAACTTGCAAGTGGTGCACGAAAAATTATAGCTTAGGGATTTCCGGCGGATACGGATCCGCCACAAGGCATCTTAAGGCCAAACACCCGGTGGAGTATGCAAAATTAGGCGGCGGAACGAGGAAGCAAACTCAAATATCGAGATTTGCAAATAAGCAACAACCTTTTCGTAATTTCTCATATAATGGTTGTTTGAAATTTGAATCATTAGAGCCGTTGGGGGTGGGGGTGGGGTTGGTGGTGGGGTACAAAAATTTCTATAAATACTCATGTTTTCTAACAATCTCCAATCTCCATTCTCCAACTTCATCTCCATCTATTCTAGTATTTGTAGAATTATTATATCTACCATTTTTAAGATGGAAAGTCAATATGCCGTTATACGGTATAATTTTGATACGCAGAAGGACCCGAGGACCGGGATTTGGTACGCAACTTGCAAATGGAGCGAAAAAAAGTGTACCATGGGGGTTTCACGCGGATACGGGATGACAAGGAACCATATTAAGTCATGTGACAAAGCCAAAGGATCGGGAGGTCCGGGAAGTTCCGATTGATTACAAAATGTATTTCATATTGTATTTTTTTCTCAATTGTCAAATGTAGTTCCTATTTCATTTCAAATAAATGCACTTGAAGTTTGTTTTTAATGCTTATATAAAACTATAAAGTATAAATTATAAAAAATGGATTTAACCGGTCCGGCCCGCCCCGGCGGGTGGGCCGACCCGTGACTCGGGCGGGTGGCCCGGCCCGAACCAGAACCGCATGTACCTCGGGTCGGGCCCGGGCCCGGGCCCACCATTCACAAACCGGCGAGCCGACCGGACCTAGGCCTGGCCCGAATCCATGCCACATCAACACATTTGCATAACGCAACACATAAACACATCAAAAACAAATTATTAAATAACTACAATTCAATACTTTGCAGGTGGGCATTCATCATAAAGTAAGTGTTTCACAAATTAAAAAAAAATCTATAAATTTGGGCTACATGAATAAGACCAATAATGGAGACAAACTACAAGTTATGAAGGTCTTCTTGGTCGTCCTGGTCATGGAGGTGTGGCTGTTGACGCATACGCCTACGCCGCTGACATGGCTGAAGAACAACTCTGTCATGCTGAGTCTGAGATGTAGAAGATGTTATTGTTGTAGATGTCGATGGCGTAGAATCCTGAGAGGGGGTCATATGTAGAAGATGGCCATAGTCCACTCGCCCCAGCACATCCGAACACACGGAAGCAATGCCCGTTAGAACCTGATGGTACGTGTCTGTGTCATACGTCTCACTAAATGTGGCAGTCGCTCGCTCATGTATATGCTGCAAAGCTCGTGTCTGACATGTGAAAAATGAAATATAATTATTTTGAAATAAATTAAAAATGTTAAATAAAGAACATGAATTACTTTAATAATCAAGAGCACACTCACCGTCAAGTGCAAAGGCATGGAACTAGGCTGATAATGGTGAGTAGGGAGTCTGAAAGATGGAGATACAAACACTTGCGTGATGCTGTAATACCATCTCATGTAGTCTGGAGAAACAGATGGGACTAATGTAGGCGTCTCAATCACAACAAGCTCTGTTCGCTTCTCCCATACAGTGACGTATGTCTGAGCGACCAATCCTCTGTAGGCTTCTCACGACTATCCAGCTTATGTAGATCTACACATGTGTTGACAGGCGTTGGAATGACATGCTCATAACCAAACTGCCTAAGTACACGATCTGGAAAATGAAGCTCAACAATGTCAAAAAACTCAACGGGACATGTGCTCGCCATATATCATAGTGCTCTCGTCCTACCGGGGGCAACTCCTCTAACATTTGGGTGGTATATGGCATCCATGTAAGCTGTTTGAAAAGGAAATAAAATTAGTCTTACTGCTTTTCATGTGCTAGGTAATATTATATGATGTACAACAAACATTATCATCCGACATGCGATCAAATGCATCTCTATAGAAACCCAGTCCAGTAGCCGATGATGTGCGGCAAAAGATCAGCAAGTAGTCATCTAACCATTCATGTAGTACATATTAATATAAATATAATTCATATAATTATTTAGAACATACAATAACATAAATATAATCTTGTAAAACATACTGACGCCCTAGAGGGTCCTCGCCCCGTCGATGATGTGGTCCAAGAAGACGTGGAGGCTAGTCATTGAGTGGAAGTCCATCTGGCCCATGGTATCGTGATATAATGGGATGCCCAATGTGAATGTACTCCCACGACCAAATCTGTAAGAAAATAAAAAAAACTCCACTCTCCCACTCGACAACCTCGACAAAGTTGCCTATAAAGAAACGCTAGAGTAGCACTACCCCAATTGAACTGTGCAGCTACATCAAATATCTCTAGCATCGGAAATGGCAGCATCTGAACTTCATTTCCATTCTTGTCTCCAAAAATGGAAGCTCCCATCAACATCAAAATGTATGTCCGTGCATGCTGCTGAATCATCACCTCATCTGCCTCTGCCGGAATCTCAACAAAATGCTCCCTCAGCCATGACATCCTCAGAGATGATCCACGAATGTCTGTCCAGAGAAGGGGGCGAATACCCAACAATCGCTCCACATCCTCAACCCATGCTCGACATGCTGTACCTGTAACTGCTCTCCCATGGACCTGTAACCCCGTTAATATAGCCACATCCCTCAAAGTCACTATCACCTCACCAACTAGGAGGTGAAATGTGTGTGTCTCCTGCCTCCAACGTTCAAGAAGAGCGGTGTGTAGCGCTCTATCAAGTG